CCCAAATGAAGGGATCCCAAATGACTACTAATGTCATATTGACCTACCCCTTACTTGTACTCTACTCCCAGGCAAAGCTTTGAATATTTGCAGATTATTTTTAGTGAATCCAAAAAATTATTTCTGAGCAGCCCACACATCGACATGTACATGTAAAAGATATAACTGTGTGTACAAAGCATGAGAAAAACTGCCTCGGTTGCAGGTGTCCCTAGTCAGAAACCCAAGGAGCAGCAACGCAGTGTCCTCCGCCCTGCAGTTCTCCAGCCACCGCCCTCTAAATCACATTTAGAGTCCAGTGAGTAAAGCTCAGAGTCTTACACTCATTAGTTAATCACATGTAATTTAAGATATAATTGCAGTCGTTGTTCTCACTGTGCACTGTTTTGCTCATGAGGTGTGTCGCTTCAAATGCTATCAGGATAGGTGAAAAGTTGGAATAATTTCCCCTTTTTTCTGTCTGTAGATTCCAGTTGTGGAACCAATGGTGTGAAAAAGTCCTCAGATGGTGCACCTGTGACCCAGTCCCTCTTCCTGAACAACACAGAGCACTCAGCCACGCTGACTAAGACACCGGTGAGAAGTAGCGAAACCTAAACAATTTATAATTAGGAGACAAAAATCAAACATGACTGCATTTCCTGCAGTTTTTGTTTGTTGAGTTTTTTTTATTACAGTTTTTGCTTGTGTGTTTTATTTGTCCTGTTGACATATTTGTCTTTTTAGTGTGTTAATAGATACAAGTCAGAATGAAAAGCTACAGCATAGAAAATTCATGTTTTTTAAAAATGTTTTTTGTTTACATTTGATTAAATAATATAAACATATTTATTAAAACATACATGTGTAAACTGTTGTCACAAACATGTTACTACATTGCAACACTTTTTTTATTTATTTTCTGTCATTACCTCAGCTCTCCATCGTTACAGGGTTGTTGTTTTTTTGTTTGTTTGTTTTTTTAATGAATCCTTCAGCCACAGCTGAAAAAGGCAAACATAATTTGACTAACAAAGAGAAACCACACAGGTTGCGTGAGTTTGCTCCTCGTAGTGTTCAGAACAGCAGTCCAGCCAGTTTCAGTCATTTGTTTAGGCCAAATAAAAAATTTGTGCTGTGACTGTTTTTAATAATTCATTATGATTAGGCTTCAGTTTCAGCACCCAATAAAGTCCAAATGACTTCAAAGTGACTCATTCACATGCGTATCATTTGTACAAGTAAAGCAAACATTTTGGCTTCATTATTTCTTAAGTCACAAGTATGTTAGAAATTCTGATAATTGAAGAAATAATGAAGCACAGATGTTGCTTGGACACATTTCTTCAAACAGCATGAAAATGAACGAGACCGCCTTGGAGTCATTTGGCTGCACATAAATGTGCTTCAGCAGGGTTAGCATAGTTGTATTCAGTTTCCCACAATACTGGATATTACAACCGTTGATACTTTGTAAGGATGAATAAAGGAAATTGTAAGTTTTTATCCTGTGCATAGACCCCAAATCCACTGTCTTTGTCTGCAGCTGGCCCTTCACTAGCTCTTCAGAGTGTCATTACTAGCCACCATCTAAAGCTATGCAGCTGGATTTGCAGTGAGACCAGAAACTCGGGCAGCTTGCTGATTCTTATTCTTGATTATTTATGATGGGAACCTCCCACTACATTGCATGAATTAACTAGTAACTAAATGATGCTTTCTGCAATCAGTTTCATCCAGAAATATTAACTATATTGCTGTGCCACTAATAGGCTTGCTAAGTAAATGGATTTGCATTAGGAAAATTAGGCACGTCTTGCTGCTCTATGCCACTTTTCTAGTATTTTGGCTACATACTTGACAATGACCCAGACTGCTAAAAGTGCAATGTCCCTTTTTTCTAAGTGAGACTGGGTCCCGTTTGTTTTTATGCAACGTACAGTCAACTGCAAACACAGTTAAGGTGCAAGTTGCAGTCAGTGTGGTTTGTGGAAGATATTAATGAAACTTGTTGCATGCAGGGGAAGTTCGTGTTGGTAAAAGATCCTTCAAATCTGATAAAGGCTCAGTGAACACTAGTTATATTAGTTGACCCTGCTGCTCTGTTTCTTCCTGTTTCAGAAACATGAAAATGAGGAAGATGGCTCGAGTGGTAACAAGGACGGAGAAAGAAAAGAGAAGAAAGAGTCAAATGTAGCAATATCATTTGTGTTTGGTCAGAATATCAAAGACAGAGCAAAGGTGAGTTTTCCTTCTGCTGGCTGTGAGCAGGTGAATTCGAAGCAAAAATTTTTGTGTCAAGCAATAGTGTGTGTTTGGTGAAATTGGATTTAAAAAATAAAGTTTTCTAGAGCACGTGTAGCACCATCCTGTTTAGTACATAATGTGACGTCACTGGTTGATTGGTTGGTTGCTGCTAATAGCTAACATATGGTAATGTTAGTCTAACTGGTGACACAGTGCAAATGCAACTAAGTTTCTTACCAAAGTGCAACCAAGAAGCCTACCACCATCAGGATGTTCAGAGGGGAATAGATTAATGTGGGCGATGACCCAAAGGGGGTGGGGTGGGGGGGCACACAGGCGCTTCCAAGGAAGAGATGCCGTAGTTCTCGGAGCCCTTCTTTGTTTGTTTTAGTTTTGAAATTCTGTTGGGAAACTGCTGTGGAAAATTGTTTAGGTGAGCACATTATCTCACTGATTACTTTTACTCACTTCTAATATGAAGTAAATTAAAATAAGTGAAGCGGAGTGAGACGTGAAGAGTCCCACCTGCGAAGATGCTAATGGTTATCAAGATTCCTAATCTTGCTTTAATAAGAAACTTTGTTTGCAATGCATGTAGTAACCAGTTATCTTGTAGTTTCGCTGTGCTTGTGAAAGGAAAGATTTAACTTCGAAATAACTGGGGGTTAAACCTACTGATCCTATTTTCTGGGTATGCACTCTGTCGGCTGATTGGTCGCTCGGTCTGTACACCAACCTCATGAGATCAAATCAAATAGTGGGGAAGGTGCTTGACTCTAGCTAGTTGGTTCAGTGAACATCTGACTCAAACAGGCTCTCCCTCACACAGACCTATTTTACAAAGTCATATACAAACCTTAGCATTATGGCTAGTTTTGGTAAGTCCTGTTTCAGTGCAGCTAGCCAACAGTGAAGAACCACTTTCTGCCTATGAGACAGAGTGGACAAGATATTCTAGTTTTTGTGTTTAACATAAAACTCATTGCTGCAGTCAGGGGCACCATAAAAGTGAGCCTTTTAGCTGTCACAAGTTAGCTAGTATATGCTAATAACCAACCGACCTAATGACATCACATTCTTCACACAAGGTGGCACTTTTTTTTAAGAGTAAGGTTTCCTGGAGTAAATGAGCCTTAATACATGTAAGTGGACATATTTATTGTGAGATTTTAAAGTGGACATGAAACAAGTGCTTATTTATTGCTTGGACCAACATGATGCTTGAATTACATCATATTGGGTTGGTTAAGATTTGTCTGTAGAGATTTCTTAATCTACTTTCTGTCGTAAGATTTCCTTCCTGTGTATTTTCCATTTTTCTCTCTCTCTCTCTAGTTGGAGGAAAACAATAAAGAAGACAATTCAAAGGACGGCGTGCCGCTGGACTCTCAATCAGAGGGCACAAATTATTTCTTGCAGTACATCTCTACCACAAGGTAATTAAAATGTGTTCTACTTAAATTTTTAAAATAGTATTTCTGCGTAATTCAGTATTAACTTTGATCAACGTGTTGATGCACACTTGCATTTCTGCCTTTTCAGTTCAAAAAATGCCACAAACAGTGCAGACAGTGGAGCAAAATTTGTTTTTGGGCAGAATATGTCTGAACGAGTTCTGGTGAGTTAATAGGGTGAATTCAATAGTCTGTTTACCTTCTGCAATACTGCAGAATTCCTAATGACTACAATTGAACGAGCTGCAATGATCAACTCTGTTGTGTTTTCAGAGTCCACCAAAGGGTGACTCTTCAAATGAGGAAAATAAAGACGTGTCAGCTGCCCCTGCTTCAGAGCCCTCATCGCAGGAAGCCACCCCAGAGAAAGGTAAAAAACCCATCCCTCCTATTATTTACAAAAATGGTTGGTATTTGGATTGATTACTAGTAGGTGTAAGCACAAAACTTTACTCCACTCAAGACAAAAACAAGACCTGTGAGCTTATGACTGTATATTAGTTTTATATTGTCTTAAACTTGGATTGGTTTCATAATTGACTAATCATAGGCTTGTACTTTGTAACCAGGGTTTGTGTCTTAACATACAAAAGGGGAATACTGAGTGAGAGAATATTTTACTTTGTTCGGTGACTTTGAAAAATAATTTATCATTTCATAGCTACTCAGTGCCCAGGCAATCATTAATGTGGGCGCAGAGCTCAAGTGCCTCTGCTCTGGAAATGATGCAGAGAACATTATCAAGCTTCTCTGTTCGGGGATGGAAGACAGGCCCCTTGATTACCCTGCAGTAGCACTGTTTCTGTGTTGCTAAAGGATCAGTTATGTTTGTGTTTTATGTCAGTGAACAACGTGTCAGAGTCTTTGGAGGAGTCTGCAGCAGCATACACCAAAGCCACAGCCAAGAAGTGCATCTTAGAGAAAGTTGATGTGAAAACTGGAGAGGAATCAGAAAGCAATGTTTTACAGGTAAAAGACAAGGCGGGGTATTTCGCTTGAAGACGTGCAGCGAAAAACATGGTGAGAATGTTTTATAATCTTCTTTTTTCCCCTCCTCTTTTACTTCAGATGCAGTGCAAGTTGTATGTTTTTGAGAAGACTGCTCAGTCGTGGATAGAGAGAGGTCGGGGTTTGCTGAGGCTCAATGACATGGCATCGACAGACGACGGCACGCTACAGTCCCGTCTAGGTAAAAGCACCTTCAAAAAGCCGCTGGAGAGAGGGGAAAAAAGGGGGGGAAACCCTTCCTGTTATGAATGTGCACGGTTTGTTTTTACAATTCAGTCACCCAAATAGCTTTAGCGGACGAAAGCATCTGTGATTGTTTTTACTGTTATTCTACCGGGACAGGTAGGGGCAACTATTATCTCAGTAAACCAAAACATACCTTTTGTGACAAAACCTAACAGTGAACACAAGAGGGAGTCTGTTCCTACTATATGGCTCTGTTGACTGGCCACCGCAGTAGTATTGTGGTCATGTTTATATATGGTGGTTTCATTCAGACAAATCAAAATCTAAGTGGACAAGCACTCTGAAGTTTTGTTTTTAATGAATATTCAACTGTTTCAGAAGTTTTCTTTCACTGTATCCTGGTTAATATTTGACTAAACTGTAAAATCCTGGTACAAATCACTTTCTCAGTGACTGAACAGAGCAGTTTCTAGGACTATAGCTGTGTATTTACTGCAAATACTAGTTGTGCCTGTTTAGTGAAGAGATTTTACAGTCAGTGGACTGAAGAAATGGTAAACACCATGTGCATATTTGCATCTGTATGTCATTGCTGTCGTGTGTTGCAGTAATGAGGACCCAGGGCAGCCTCCGGTTGATCCTCAACACTAAACTTTGGCCCCAGATGCAAGTGGACAAGGCCAGCGAGAAGAGTGTACGAATCACTGCCATGGACACGGAGGACCAGGGTGTCAAGGTCTTCCTAATATCGGTATGTGTTACTAAACGTTTAACATTTTTCCAAAGGGTGTTAGCTTTTAAGTGTTTTTTTCCCCCTCCCTATGTATACATCAAAAGTAAGAAAAACACAGAAAATTGTAAAAAAAATTTTGTACAAGCATTGAACTGGTGAAACATATTCTGCCTCGGTTTCACGCTGTCCCATCCACTGTTAATGCGTCTTTATCATCTGTCTCATTCTGTTTTTGTGTATTTTTCCTCTTTAGTAAAGGGTGAATACATTTCCATGTTATTAATTTGATCAGCTCAGTATTGTCCTGTGATATTAAAACATTCAGTGCCTACAGTTGGTACAAGAATACTGCTTTCAAACATATTATTTTGAGGTAGTTAAAAACTGTTCTTAATAAAATGCATTACTTCCTCCCCCAGATGTTTAACATTCCAGCCGTTCTGTGGGTTTTGGAAAGCATTTAATCTGAAACATCTGCGTATCGAAGTGGCAATTTTATTATTCATATAACACATTTCATTAAATGTAAACTCAGTGTGCATAACCCAAAAATGAAAAACATAAAAACAAATGTCGGCTTACTTAAGTCAAAGCAATAAAAAACTAACTGTACAAGAAAGTTTAAAAAAAGAGGTTTTAAGCTTGTTTTGTAAAGTGTAAACAGTTGTAAATGACCTCAAGTCAGCAGACAGCTTGTTCCAAGGTTCAGTTTCCACAGTAACTGAAGCACCCTCAGCACACTTGGATCTAATTCTGAGAATAGTTAAAAGATCTAATTAGGTTATAGATACTGAGAAAGTCAGAGATGAACGGGGAGGGCAAACTACTGAGAGCTTTATAAGCTTGTAGAAGGACTTGTACAGGTAATTCTGTGTTGAACTGGTAGCCAGTGAAGTTACTTCAGTAGCTGGGTAATATGTTGAAATCTGTAAGGACTCTGGCTGCTGCATTCTCAACAAGATGAAGTCATCCTACTGATAATTTGGAAAATCCTGCAAATGGAGCGTTACAGTGTACCAATGCGATATGCATGTGTCATGTCCATGTGGCTGAATTTTGTTTGCACTTTTGCATATTTAGGGTAGCTCTAAAGACATAGGTCAGCTGGCTGCAGCGTTACATCACCGTATCCTGGCCCTGAAGAGCAGGGTGGAACAGGAGTCTGAGACCCCGGCAACAACCATCCCCGATGCCGAGGTACCGCAGTCCAACGAGGATGACAGCGACGAGGAGGACAATGCCTCTGCCTCCGCTTCAGCCTCTACTCCTGCTACAAGTCAGTGATTTTTATTTATTTTGATTTTTATAGTTTTTACTGCAGCAGCTCTTGTTTGTTTTTCAGTGATTCGACTAAGGCTACGTTCACACTGCAGGCGAAAGCGCATCAAATCCGATTTTTTTTTTTTTGACCCTATGCGACCCATATCCGATCATGGTATGACAGTGTGAACGGCACAAATCCGATATTTTCAAATCCGATCTGGGTCACTTTCGTATGTGGTACTGAATCAGATACATATCCGATGTTTCAGAAAGCGACTGCTGTGTGAATGGTCAAGTCACATTAAATCCATCTTTTACGTCACTGACACAAGACAGACGCCAATTATCAGCGCTGGAGAAGCGCCTGATAAGACACCGCGAACGCTTCCTGGCCATCCAGTGTAGATGTCAGTGAAACTGTTGGGAAGACAACGTTGGAGAAACGTTAACATTTTATTTGTACTGTATAATCTGCAGATTCTGACAGAAATCTGCAACTATCCTTTGAAGCACCGCTCCTCTAAAACAGCAATAAGGATAATTATTAGGTTATCTACATTATTATGTAAATAACAAAATAACTTAAAGCAAAAATTGGGAAACGTGAAGTCCGAAGTCTTTAAATTAAGGGCCATCAGTCAAACAATATTGTTTGCTCTGGGTTTAAACAGAGGGCGTTGTGTGTGACATCTTCTTTTGCGCATGCGGGGCGCTTTGAGCGTTCACACTAGAGCACGTTTGCTGTCGCATTTTATTTGTAGTGTGAACAAGCAGACAAAAAAATCAGATTTGATCAAAAAATCGGAATTGAGCATTAAGACCTGCAGTGTGAACGTAGCCTAAAATACCTTTGCTGACACGTTGCCACTCTGCTCCTGCAGGTAATTCAGAGGGAGGAGAGAGCCAGGCAGCTGGAAGCACATAGCGTCACTCTTGGAAAGCCTGCTGAGATGCCGCTGTAGAAGCATTTTGCTGCAGGCATCTCCATGGACACCCCATGACCAACGTGGGTCCTCCAGACCAGTACTTTTGGATATTAGAAGTCTAGCTCCAGGAAATAACCCCCTGTGCCGGAGTGTCTCACCCAACTCGTGCAGTTCATCTTCTCTGCGTTCAGCGTAATATCTGGAGTCGTTTCTTCCCGCCCTCTCCTGTTTTTGTGTTTAATTTTTGTTCTCAAGTATTTTTTTTTTCTTCCTCTCCCCGATAGCAAAAATAAAGACTTCAAAGCTTTGGTTTGGGACTTCTCTGCTCATCATATTGATGAGTGTAAGGGTGTTTTCCTCTACATTTTAAAGTATGGCACATGTTAAGACTGCAGTTTCTACTTTGGGACCTTTATACTCACTCTACAGCCGTACCTCTGGACACCACACATCCAGAGGAGCTTCATTCACATTGTATTTGACTCGTCATCCAGTCGTTTGTTGTTTTTTCTTTTTTTTTTCTCTTACATCAAGTCCAGCCTTCCTCTTGCCCCCCTCATCCTGACCAGTCTGTGCGTTAAGTTTTGGCAAATGTAATTTATTTTGGGCTGTCATTTTCATGAGGCATCTCAACACATATGTGCTGTTTGTAATGGCTAGCCAAGACCACTCGAGTTGTCATTAATAGCAGTTTCTTATATTTCCTATTGACCTATATTATAGCGAATAAAAGACTGAAACAGTGCAGTTTCCGCTAATGTGAGTTAATGATTTGGGGACAAAAGGGCAGTTCACCACAATGTTTCGTCTAGATTTCTACGATGTGTTAGTCATTCAGCGTCTGGTTTTTCATTTTTCCAAAATTAGAAAAAACATGAACTCACCCGTCTACATTCTGCATGTAACTGTTACTTTTCTCCTTTTCCAGCATCCCAGGGGTTTATCGTGTTGATTCATATTTTTATGTTGAAGATTTTTTTTTTTTTTTTTATCCATTTACATTTGGAAAAAAGGTTTTGAATGAAAGAATTCATGTGTGGAAAATTTGAGTGACAACTGTAATACCCTTTGAATGTCATGTACATTTGAATATATCATCATTTAGTAGCGCACCATGTTTTCTCATCTCCAGCTGCCCCCTTTACAAAATAAACCATTTTGGACTGACCGCTATTGTTCCCTCTGAAACTGGGTTTTCTGCACTAGCAAGAGGGGTATCAGTATAGTATATGTAATACTTAGACATCGTCTCCTGTGATAAGTAGTACCTGTAAGCAACAGTACAATAATGAATAACTCTCTAAAGAGGGAACAAACTTTACCCTTGGACATAATTGAATACGTGGAATGAGAACAGCCTGTCTGTTTTGTATTCATGTGCTGGATCTGGCCTGCAGGTTGATGAATGCTGTGCTGACTGCACTGAGCAAGAATCGGACTAAATCTTGTTTATATACAGTATTCATCAGGCACAAGGTCATGAATATTTGATGCATGTACCTATCATAACAGCCCAGCCTAATCGTATACATCCAAACTAGAAACATAACTGCCACCGCTCACAAATTCTTAGCCTTATCTGCCTTTCTGTGGTGACTCGGCAGGAAAGCATTTTTCTGCAGCGTCTCCTGTAAATGATTGCAGTTGTGTGGTGAAAGTCAAAGCTAAACACTCCGAACTTAGATGCTGGACTAGTGTAACAAGTCAAGCACTACTAACTTTTTGGAGTTTTACTTGAGGCCTTGACGTGCGCTGCAGATTCTCTTTAATTCTCTTTAATTCTCATCAAATGTGATTCATCTTCATGCTTTTCTTTTAAAAATCGAAATACTGGTAACAACCAAGGGCACGCATCTTTATTGTGATGGTGTTTGTTTGAAAGATTGTTGACTTTGTGAACATGTCTTTAAAAGCAGGGTCGTCGTCAGCACAAAGGATCTTCGCCTCATTGAAATCCCAAACATTAAACTTCACACATAAACCATTTGGTTTTCACCTGAAAGATTAGGCCGCAAACAATAGAAATCTTCTTAACATTTTCTCAAAGTACTTTAAAGTAGTGGGGAAGAGGGTGAGATAAGATAAGCATCAGAGAGGAAAATGAATTGCACAACATGCATACCCCCAGTTCTAAAATCAGAAGAAAGCCACCAAAGGTGAATTAAATGGAAACACACTTGAATAGTTTTTTCACCTGGCTTTTGTCAGTAGTGAAGTCAAACTATGTAATGACTAAGCTATAACTGCAATGCGTTTTAAAGTTAGTTATACGAACAAAGTAGTTAGTCAGGTTTGTGATTCAGCTTGTTAGGTCAGAATAGAGAGATTGGGACATGGTCTCGACTTAAATGGAGCTTAAAACTGGGACTGTAATTATCAGGGTTTTCCACTAACACTCAGCTACTGTGACTAAAAGGGTTTTTCTCCCAGAACTTCTTGGCGATTGGTATCTATGCCAAGGTTTAAACTTACCATAACACCATCAAACTGACACGTGAAAAAATGGAGGAACTAATGAAACAATGTGAAGCATAAATTTATTACTAGCATAATTACGACAAGGTTAGAACAGTTTTTTCAAGGCAATTCTAAAGAAAGACAGAAAATCTTATTTCCTGTTGTCTGTTTTTGCAGAAATAAAATATTTCCTTAAATGCATACCTTGTGAATAGTTTGTTTTAGCCCTGCATCTGTTCTTCATAGAAAACTTGCTGGTCCTGCACAGATTTGGACCACATTTATGTTCCAGCTGATCAAATGGAGCACAAGCACTTTTTAAGGCTGAAGAAATATTAAGACCACAGTTTTCTACTAGAGTTGGCAAGCCACAGACATTCAAGAAGAAATTTAGAGCATAGTAAAACATAGGTGAAACATAAATGTGCTAACGTGGTTTCCACTACTCAGTCTGTCCTCTTATCTTTTGTAGTCACACTGGAGCTCTAGCTAGACTTTTCATTAGGCATCTCATCCTAGTTTCCATGTGTTATCTTGGGGATGTCTTCCAAATATAGTCACAAATTCTGCTTTGCAGTAAAAAAAAAAATTGAGCTCCAGTTCTTCATTTATCTTCACATATAATGAATAATGAAACTTGAGCATGTGGATCCAAAGCACTGGGTTTAAATGTATTTTGTAATGCTTTGTAATGCTGTTAGATTGGCATTAAATTAAGATTAATTTTTTCCCATCATAGGATGATGAGAAAAATCCTCTTCTCTGCAAGCCTGTGTTGATTTATGGGGTTTGTAGATAGCTTTTCTTGAAAAAAAAATAAAGTATTAAATAAACAAACAGTAATCCCCTGGAAAAAGTGGACTTAATATTGACAAGTGGTACGTTTTCAGCTAGCTCCAAAAAAAAAAAAAGCGTGTTAGAACATAACTGGTACTCTGAATCACATCTTTTATTGTTTGCCTTAGGCACTGGTGTCATAAAGAGGTAATAATAATCACAGTGTTTCCATAATCGCCATGTATTGTGGATACTACTAGGCAACACTTTAAGGTAAATATTTTTGATATTGCAGCAGATGATACATATAATTGAAGTGAAAATGGTCTGTTTTGCAAATGTTCAGTCTACCACATTGATCCAGATACAGCAGCTACAGAAATACACGGCTACCTGTAGACATACGGTGCCAATTTTGGGAGTCAGCATTTGACTCGAGGCTTCTCAGGAAAAATACTCCCATCAAGAATTTGTCTGTTCAGACTGTGGTTAACATTGGTAAGGTTGCTGTCATTTTGTCCAGCCTTATAGGTTTTTATTTTATCCATCCACTCTCACTTCTCTCACATATTGATGATGTTGCGATGATGAGTAGAACTGATAAATTCAAGAGAATTGCTAACTTGGTGTCTTTCTGCTCCCCTTTCTTGCCTTAATACATGAAATATATAAGAATTAAATACACATTAGTGCTTTCCACGCTCATAGGAAATGAAAATTACTATGCAAGGAGCTTAAACCCTCTTCTTACTTCTCTTAAACGTCACCATAGATTTCCTGACTCTTCATCTGTTCTAACTGAATTATTCCTTCTCAGTTTCATCTGTGGTGTGGTCACACAGAGTGTTTTAATATGGTTTCATTTGAAGGATAATTTGTCTTTTTTTTTTAAGGAACCTTTTGCAAGGAAATATTGTCACAGGTAACATGCTGAGATGGGCTCCACCCTGCACCGCAACCGCGATTTGAACAAACCGTTAGAATAAATGAATGAAATTTGTGTGTCATATTTGCATCAAACAAACGTTAATATTAGACAGCGATAACATGAATACACACAAAATGCAGTTGATGATTTTATTTATTAATACCCCGTCTTGTGTGGAAAAGTATTTGCCTCCTCTTGTTAAATCATACATTAACTGTGATTAACTAAAGTTTTTGGAAAGCAGTTTTACTAGCCACACCCAGGCCTGATTACTGCCAGACCTGTTGAATCAAGAAATCAGTTAGAGTATAACCTGTGTGGCAAAGGGAAGTAGGCTAAAAGATTTCAGAATGCTGCGTTCTAAAGAAACTAAAGAACAGATGAGAAGCAAAGTTCTAATTTCCAAGGTTTTGAAACCACATTGAGAGCCATTATCCACAACTCATCCGGGAGGTCACAAAAGAACCCAGAGCTTCATTTAAAGAACTGCAGACCTCACTCGTCTCAGTTATGACCAGTGTTGATGATTCAACAATAAAAAAAAAAGATGGAACCAAATGTTTTAAGCCAAAAAAGAACAAAGGCTCGTCTCACATTTACTAAAAAACATCTGATAATCCCAAAGACTTTTGGAAAAATATTCTGACAAGTCAAAAGTTGAAGTTTTTGGAAGTTTTCTGTCTCGTTACATCGGGCATAAAACTAACAGCATTTCATAAATGAACATTATATCAACAGACAAACACAGTCTGGGGCTGCTTTTCTGCTTCTTGGCTGAGACGACTTAATTGACGGAACCATCCTTTCTGCTCTTTACCAGAAAACCTTGAAAGAGATTGTCTTCTCAGGTCTCAAAACAACAAGGAGTTTGTTTTGAAGTGGCCTACTCAAAGTCCAGACTTAAAATCCAATTGTGAGGCTTTGGAACGACCTCAAACAGACCCGTCATACGTGAAAGCCCTCCAATCTGGCTGAATTAAAGACATCCTGTAAAGAAGAGTGGGCCAAAATTCCTCCACAGTGATGTGAAAGACTTATTGCCAGTCATCACAAATTGCATTTTTAGTTCTTGTTGCCAAAGTTGCCAAAGGGCATAACCTGCTATTAGTTTTACAGGGCAATTACTTTATCACTAAGTAGGTTTGGATAGTTTTTTTTCTTCCCAAATAAATGAAATAATCACTTAAAAAACAGATTTTGTATTTGCTCAATTTATCCTTGTCTAATATTAATGATCTGAGACATGCAAATGTGACAAATATGCAAACAAATAAGAAATCAGGGGAAAAATATTGTTTTTCCTCATCACTGTAAAAATAAAAATGTTCCCCTCAGTTTGCACCGTTTCAGGATCAAATGAACACTCAGACTGATGCTTTTCACCCAACAAATGCAAATGGCGCGCTGTAGAAACACATTACTTCAGACCAGGTGGAAGCTATTGCAAAGTGATACCGCACCTATTATGCATTGTTTAGGAAAGTAAAAGCTCAGGAATGAACTCTTATATCACAGCTGAAAGAGTTCCCTTTAAGAATTCCCTACAGAGGACAAATTACAATTGCTAACACAACACTCGCCGCTCTTCTTCATGGAGTCGGCGCTGGTGTTGTAATTCACATGGCACTAAAAGGGACGCCGTGTCTTAAGACCTGTTATCACCCGTGAGCTGAACCGTGTTTACAAAAGGCAGATCTGTAAATGAGTCATGTACTTCTAGCTGATCCGAGAAGTTTTGGCAATGCTTGAAGGACAATCTTGTCAGAGAGGATTAAGTTCTGAGGTAGAAGCTGATAAAAGATTGTGATGCAGGAGAAGGGGGAGTAGTATTTTAATGTCGGCGAAGAGAGGTGAGTATCTATCATAGTCGTATTATATCCTTCCTTCTGAGCAGATTAAGTGAACAGCAGGTGCCACATAAAAACAGCCATCAAAACCAGAGTAATATTTATATGATCTCCCATAAAGAGGCGCCGATGATTCTTTGTGTCATTTATTTCCTTAGAAGGAATTAAGCCATTCCTAGGAGGCCAGGGAAAATAAAAAATCACTTCAGCATTCCTATTTCAAGTATGAGACATTTACGAGCAGCATCCTCCTCCGGGATGGAAATGTTGTATAAATAAAGGAAAAATATCGGCCAGAATGAATGAGATGCAAAATGGTGTGGAATTTTAGCCAAATGCACAAACCCAACTTAATGATCTAGCATGGTTTTTTATTGTAAGTCTAGACACTAGACAAATGGCTTGTGTTTTTTCTCCGCGCTGATACCCAGGGAACGTTTGTCTGGTGACAAACACTTGTTTGTGTACTGCAGTGCTCAGACAACAGTACCGACAGCAGAAAGCATCACAGATGTCGAGGAATTGTTTCATTATGCATGAGCCGCATTCAATTTTGTCTCTTTTTCCTCCTAAATTGTAACTACATCTGACTCCTCCTCACTACATGAAGTTTAGATGTTCAAATTTCCATATTTCAGAGCAGTTTAAGGATTTCTTTTCAAAGCATTATAATTCTGGAAAACAGCAGAAGGACTAGAAGTTGTTTAAGAAAATGAAATATATATATCATCCCTATACTTTTTGATAACAGGTGTAAATTCAGCATGTCCTTAAAACAGTTGGACTTCCTGTTTTTTACATTTAGATATAAAATCACATCATATACTCTTTTTTTAAGCTGTCCTTCCTCTATATTCCACAAGGTGGGGCTGTGAAATGAGAAGGATGTCTCAAGTTCAGTGAAACGTTGAGGTGAAACCTCTATGGCAATAAGTAAATAAATAAATAAGACGCCACCTTGCCTCTGTAAATATTTAACAATAATAATATATGAATAACACACCTTTTTATTATTTAAATCTGACAATAAATTCATTTAAAAAGCTTATTCGTGTGAAAAATAACAGTCATTACTTTATTAGCAGATTAAATCTGCAGACTAAATATCTAGCAGCAACTTCCTGTATACAAGACAAACAAACTGCAGTTTAAAATTGGGATTCATCAGTGTAATTATGACCCTAAAAAAGAACATTAACATCTTGGAGCTGAAGTGTGCCGTAAGCTCATTGCTTCCTCTGGCCTTCCAGACCTACACCTTTCCTTTTTTTCTTCCTCCCCTCCCTTTAATCCTCCACTGTTCCATCAAATCCCACCACTCCCCAAAGCCCCTACAAACACTCATGCACACTACAAACACTCACACACCCAGCATTGAAAAATAAACATCCCTGCACGCACAGGCCTTTTAATATCTGACTCAAATCAAAAGCATTTTAACTTAAAACACCTCTCCCCTGCCTGTTTAGTGTGTGAACTGTGAGAGAGCCTATAGTTTACAGATTGCAAGGTGTGGAGCGTATCCTTATCCAGATGGGAACCAATGACTAAACGGAACACTAAATAAACAAATAAATAAGAGCACCACAGCAAGTAGCACAGAGAGCATAAAGGAAGAATGTGGAGGCTGAGAAAACACTGTCAGCTTT